TGGTGGAAAAGCTCAGTCAGCCAGCTCCTGAACTTCAAAAAGCCAAGACCTTAATTGGTTACTGAACTAATGCGCCTGACCAACATAGAAGGGAAATGGTCTTTGCTGGGTCTGCCACAACCTGCTATGTACATTTGGTCACCAGGTACTTAGGTAGGGACAGGTTTGATTTCGTAGATGCTAACAGAAGGCTATTCCAGACATGCAAGTGGGAGGATTGAAATGAGAGCCTTAGAAGGCAAAACAAAATTGTCCTCTATATAGACCTGATAGAGGGAGTAGAGAAACATTCCAAGTCAGGCATTTTTATCTCATAGGATAATGTTATCAAAACACCCACTTGCTATTCAGTAGTGTCTGTAAAACTTGCATATAAAATAACACCCAAGGATTGGAATTTAAAAATCAAATATTTAATAGTGCTAAGTAATGTGGCCTCACTATAAAAATAATTGAGATAAGAGTTGCAAGCCAGAGTCTGCAGCCTGCCCTAAGTATGAGAATCCTGCTAGAATATTGGCTGTCACAGCTGGAACAAGCAGAGATCATATTTCTCTCAGCTAGTCTCCTCTCAGTTCCAACATCCTCTCATAAAGATTTCATACTCAGCACACATGTGGCTGGATATTTTATGCACCAAGGTCTATGTAGCTGCTGAAAGCAGGTGATGAACAAGGCAGGCAAAGTTCCTCATAGAAGTCTTATCTTGTGGGGAGAACTAAGCAAGAAAAATTAATTAAAGGGTGGTATATTGGATTGAGATAGCCCTGGGGTGGGAGGGTTATAAAATCAGGAAGGAGGGCTGGGAACTACCTTGGGAAGACGGAGCCTTTAGAAAAGAAGCCATCGAGGCTTCACTTGCTACACCTTTGAGGAAAGGGTTAAAAGTCTGGGAATACCTGAGATGCAAAGGACCATAGAGGAACTATCCCAGGACGTAGCAGTAGCAGGGATTCTGGGTAGGACTCCACCCACCTGGTCCAAGGTACGCAGAATAGAGTGCTGTTGTTACAGGTAAGGCTCAGAAAAGTTCAGGGTCAGAGAGGCAGAAGGATGAGGTCCTGCAGGAGGCTGGACAGCATGGCTCTTTGCTTTTGAGATTAAACGTGAACAAGTGTGTGGGGAGCTTAGGTTGCAGAGTGACGTGGTCAGACATTTCAACAGTCATCAGGTTGCTCTGTTGACATGGTCAAGGTGGAAGCTGTAGTAATAGAGAAAACTAATGTAGTGAAGCAAAGGTGGAACGAGCTTTCTGATAGCTGGTAATACTGGCATAATATTGGTATAATGTTACGTAAGATGGATGGATGGAGAGAGAGAGTCAGAGACAGAGACAGATATGGATAGATGGATCGGTGGGTGAATGGATAAGGAGACAAAAGGCGAACACATTATGCATTAAAGAATATACAAAGTGAGAGGAAGTGCAAATAAGAATGAACCCCAATATTTGTGATGAGCTAGTATAAAACCAAAGCTGCAGGAGAGTTGGGAGGGGTCATGGAAAACTTATCTCATGTGAGGTCTAGATGCTCTGGACTACTCAGAGTGTTTTCTTGGCCTTGGGAATAGCTGAAGTTGTCCAGCAAATAAATACAAATGTGTAAGAGAAGTTTGAAGTCAGAGGTCTGAGGCATTCCAAATTGAGAGGGCAAAAGAGCCAACACGAGTATCCTTGTGAGTCCAGCGCTGCTGTCTGCTGGGATTGTGCCTTAGGGCAGGTGTCATCTAAAGAAGTAAACCACCAAAGAGGTAAGAGTGAAAACCCAGTGCAGATTGACTTCAGGGAGACTAATGCCAGATGGTTCATTGTCAGCATATTTAAAACACAGCACAATTTGAGAAGAGGTTTTCAGGCAACAATCAATCCAGTGAGTCCAATTTCAGGTGCACAATAAAGCATAAGGCATGTCTACATAGAAGCTCTTTTTCAAAGTACATGTGACCATGAGAGTGGGTCCCATAGCTAAAAGGCCTAGAATCTAGTGTGTTCTGTAACCTACAGCATAGAGGTCAGCAGAACATAAAGCACATGAGACATCTCCCTTAAGGTCTAAGAAGGGAAGAGTCTGGGATAACCACTCTAGGAAATTTGGGTAAGGTCTGCCCTCTACAGCAAAGGGTGGGTGAGGCCTACCTCCACAGATAGCAGAAAGGCCACCACGCCCTTAAAATCCACTCTCATCTTTCTGGATGAAATTCAAGATGACTTTCATCCCCTCCACTGAGGAGACATCCCTATGTGAATAACATGCCTGGTTCTCTTAGGGCTTCTCTGTGAGTACAAGGATCTCTGTGCTCCCAACATGTGACATAACCAATGCATTCAGAAACATGGAGGTCAGTGGGAATCCTGAAAGCAACAAGTTCCAGGGTTTAGTAACAGTGAAAACAGGAAAGGAGCTAAAGACAGAAAGAAAAAGGTTGGGAGACATGTAGCTCAAAGCAGGCTTACACTGAAGGGAAAGGGCCACCAAGATGGCACCTGGAAAGTCAGTACAAGTATGAAATAAACACTATTGACTGACAAATTGACAGATCCATTCAACTCTCCCCAAAGAAAATGGCTACTGTTTTGAGAATTGGATGTTCAGACCTCACAGCCTACATTTCTAACCTGAGCTCCACAGTGAAGAGATGGAAGGGATGTGATCACCTACCAGACTGTTCTAGTTTAATTCCTGTTGCCGTGAAAAACATCATGACCAGAAGCAACTTAGGAAGAGGAAAGAATTTGTGTGGCTTACACATACCTACTACAGTCTGTTAACGAAGGAAGTCAGGTCAGGAACTCAAGCAGGAACAGGGGCAGGAACCACAAAGGAACACTGCTTACTGGCTTGCTTCCCATACCTTGCTCAGCCTGCTCTTTGACAACCCAAGGACACCTGCCCAGGGTGGGCACCTAGATCCTCCCGTATCAATCATTAATTAAGAAAATGGCCCATGGACTTGCTTATAGGCCAATCTACTGGAGGCAATTATTCACCTGACGTTCCCTCTTCCCAGACGACTCTAGCTCATGTCCAGTTGAGAAAAAAACTAACCAGCACAGTGTCATATGATAAACAAAACAAAACAAAACAAAATAGCACACAGTAACTCAGTAGGAGGTACTTTAGACATGGAAAAGGAAGTTTTCTCTGAGTCAGTGGAATTAACTAGAATAAAGTAAAGAGGCTAGCCATTGTGAGGTCTAGGGGAAGCTTTGTCCAGAGAGAGGACAGTGAGTGACAGGTCTTCTAAGTTTTATAAGAACAGTTCAGAGGTCTAAAATATAGAGAGGCCAAAAAGTAAAGTTCTAGAAGTCAGCAGAGCAGGCTGCATCAATTCTTTCAGACTGTATTTTCTAAGACTAACAGGAGCATAATAGGAGATTACTGGAGATATTTGCTTCAAAATCTACCGGCAAACAGTAGATGAGAGTGAAAACCAAGAAGCCAGTTGACAAGGCACTGAAGTTTCCCAACAAGAGATGGCAGGTGCCTAAATTAAGACTTGGGCTATATTAGCAGATGGAAGGGATTCTGAGTCAAGAAAATTGTGATGGAAAGATGGGTGAGCTGATGAATTCACAAAATATTTTGGAAGTAGAGCTGATCCAATTTGTTGATAGAAGGAAAAGAGTGAGCAGAAAGAAAAAATGGGAGAAATAAGGATAACTATGTGGCTTCTGCAAAAACAAAACAAAACAAAAAACTGAGCAAGAAAAAAGAGACAGGTGATGGTATTATCTGCTGACAGGGAACAATGTGTAAAAACAATGAAACCCAGACAGCATCAAAGAAAGGAAGAATGACAACCTTGTCTGTTAGACATTTTGGCCAAGATGATGACCTAAAATATCAGCTGCATAGCTGAAGAAAATGAGACATGTGTCCTGAAATTCAAGTTCACATCCCTAAAACTGTCTTGGTTAAACTGGCACAACACTCTACTCTGAAATTTCTGCCATTTCTTTACCCACATGTGTCATTGAGCACTTGTGTTTAGCCGTTCTTCTGAGCCATGTTTTGAGGACTTTGTTTTTATTTTACACATACACACACACACACACACACACACACACACACACACACATACACACAGAGGCTGACCTCGAACTCACAGAGGCAGAGATGTCTCTGCCTCCAGAGCACTGGGTTTATATGCCTGCACCACCTCACCAGCTTACATATTTCATCTTATTTGCTATTTCAGCTGCATGTATTCATGTTATGTGTGTGTGCACATGAGCATATGAGAACATGCATACATAACCACAGTGCATGCGCAGAGGTCAGAGGATAACTTTGGGGAGGCAGGTCTCAGCTTCCATCACATGAGATTCAGCTCGGATTATCAGGCTTGGCCACTGAGCCTTGTCCCTGACCCTTTTATTTTCAATCTGAGTTCCTAGTTGAAGCTGGAAGTTCTCCTCCTATTTTGTTCTCAACAAGTCAAGTTCCATTTTCTCTCTAATGGTGACCATGCCCTCTACCTCCACCTGTGACGGATGACCACTAGAAAAGCATATTCTACTCTAAAACAGCATCATTTTGTTGGCTCATTTCACAATCACCACATCGGACACAAGGATTCTGACCGACTTTAAAGTCCTATGACGAGGTACACAAAGCTTGCTCAGAATCAACTGATTTCTTAGTAGGGCAGACTGGAGGGTGGTGACCACAGGTATTAAGTTCGGTTGAGTGTGCAGTTTTCTTTTCACGCTCCGTTAAATTCCAGGAAGCAATGTCCCAGGAAGTCACTTTTCATTGCCCCTTCAGCCCCTCCTCCTCCTGAGTTATCTAGAAAGCATGTAAAAGTTTAAAGACTTCCTCAAAGAGTCACTTAAAAGAGTTTGAGGAACTGCGGTCAGCATGTGAAAGGATGGGAAGCCCGGACTAGAGAGCTCTGGCTTTCTGTCCCACTCTGTCTTCCCCAAGTCCCCGCCCCCTCCTTCGACCCAAACCATCCCAGGCTGGGAATCCAGGGCCCATTCGTGAGAACCCCCGTACCTGGTGGGTAATACCGAAGCAAGAGGCTCTTGAGCTTCATTTTCTTACCCTCCTACCTTGATGGGCTTCGTAGCCAAGGAAACAGATAAACAGCAGCGGAACGCTGGGGCGCATGCGCCAGTGTTTCCGCGGGGTCTTGGCGAGCCCTGCCGCCCAGAACTAGGTATGCTCAACTTGTGGCTAGCAGTCAAGAGAAGCAGCCAGTGTTCCAGGAGTGGCGCTACTTCACCACAAAGAGTTAATCCTTTAACTTTAGGATTTCCCCAAATCAACTCATTATTTTAGCTTCTTTTCGAGTGTAAGAAGATGTGCTGTTGTGGAAAATAAAATGTTCGTACAGTTTTCAATAAAGATTAAAGAAAATTATGCAATATTTTAAAGGAGCTATTGAATTAGTATTCTATTTCCTGCCAAAGCCTCTGAACCAACGCTTTCTCTTTCCCTTCTTTGTTAAAGAAAAATATCACACCTCTTGTAAGATTTAAAAAAAAAAAAAAAAACAAAAACAAGCCAACCAAGATGACTTGCTTGAAAGACTGGAAAGAAAGTTGAGGAAAAAAAAAATACTGACAAATACAATTAAGTCTGGTAGAAGAAAGCAACACACCTCCAGCTAGAAGGGACCCACACTTGGCAAGCAAATACATATGTGACCTTCATCTCTTCCTGCTCAGCCATTCTACTAGTTAGCACAAGGTTCAAACCTGAGAAAGGGCTGAAAATTTTACTTTCTAGAAATGCGGAAGTTTGGGGTAGGTTGTGGTCACCTGTGTTATCGCTTCTACGCCTGCTACTTGAGAACATGGCCACTGGAAAAACAACTTCACTGTGGGGAAATCCAGTAGACAGCATCTAAACACTGACACACTGACATCCCATACCTGCTGTCACTGAAGAGGACACAATTCTGAAAGACCTGCCCAAATGCATTTCTTGACCCCAACCCAAGAGGAAGCTTTACTTATTCTTTCGTAGTCAGCTTTCCGTAATAAAACACCTAAAAGAAATCAACTTAAAGGATGAGGTTATTTAGGATTATGGACTTTGAGGTTTGAGTCCTTTGGTTGGCTCTCTCACTTGGGGAGGTCTATCCTTATAATATCATGGCATGTGCTAGAGGAGGCTATTCATGTCACGGTGGCAAGGAAGCAAACAGAGGAAGGGGAAGGGACAAATTAAGGGAAGCCCCTAAATGATCTATTTCTTCCAAGTAGGCATCAATTCCTTTAAATTGCCACCAATTCCCAATAGACAATTAAGCTGTGACTCCCTCGGCGGTCAATCTTTGGATGAACTTAGAGTCACCAGTTACCTCCAAAAGACCCCACCTCTGAACTTCACTGCCTGCACTGGGGTCCAGACCCTCGATGCATACCTCTGCAGACCCAAATTATAACATACCCTTTGAGTTGAATCCCAATCTCTTGAGGACCAACACCTCTGAGGAAGGGAGCAGGCCTTGCCTTGGTCTTTCTATGAGAACATGTATTCAGAGGTATGCATCCCGGGTTCCATTCAGTTTCCAAAGCTGTAGTGGTTCCTTCAAGGACCTCTTATTCTAGGGATGTTAGGGTCCTAACTTAAGAACCTAGAATTGTCAAAATACCCAATTTAAGGTCTCTTATGCCATTTTCCTAGAAGACTACTGTCTTCCAGTTGTGTGCAAACAGAAAGGTGACCCAAAAAGAAGCAGACAGAGTGTTGAATGGACTCCCTTGGCAGTGGCTTAAACTGAGGTTGAAGCTGACTCATCGCTTACTCATCACCAGAAGCCACAGCACCATGTCTCAGCCTCCTTCACCCCAGCACATTATGTTTTGAGTCTCAAAAAAAAAAAAAAAGGCACACACTGCCCAGGTGATGGTCCCCCTTACAGTGTGTGGCTTAGAATGGCTTCCTCTTAGGATGACATTACTGTTTTTCCTGAATGGAACCATCAGCAGATTTGTCCAATTCCTCCTCACTAGATAAGCAACTGAGGTTTACAGGGACTTATCCAGAGTATATAGTATTTGACTCTTGGCCTATTCCCTGCACTGAGGTGACAATCTACTTCATTTCCACCAAATTTCATAGGTTCAAATTCTTCCCCAAAGGGGATGGCATAGAAAATTGGGTTTAGGGAGCTACTTTGTTCTGAGGGTAAGCCTCTTTCTTATGAAGAGGTCTCCCAGGGATCTCTCCAATCCCCTTTCTACATGAGGATACCGTGCGAGGTTAACAGCCTAAAACTCAAAAGAGAGTCTCACCAGAACTGACTAGAGTGTCACCCTGAGCTCCTGAATCATAAGGGATCAGTTCCTATGGTTCCTCATCAATAACACTTCTTGCAGCAGCTTGAGCTGAGATGTTTCTGTGGGGACCAGCCTTGAGCAGCCAGAAGCTGCACATGTAGGAGGATTGATTTAATTGCTCTAAACCAATCCAGCTAATCAAGTGAAGTTGCCGTGGCCTTCAGTTCTCACAATGTGATCTGGGAACAGAAGCAACAAAATTGCTCCAGGAATCTTCAGAAATGTTTGTTCTGTGCTTATTTCCTACCTCCCCACAACTTGCTGAAACAGAAAAAATCAGCAAGGAGGCCCTACAGTTCCAGGTGAAACAAATTCGCTAGTGATGATCACAAAAGATGAAGTCTGAGAGCCACAGTATTGGTTTAATAAGTTCCGTTGATGTGGCCAAAATTGAGTGATTCAGGTTTCACCCTGTCTCCAATGGTCATATCTTCTGTGCAATATATTCATAACATGTTTCTTTGATTGTCAGTGTTTTAGTTACTTTTCTGTCACTGTGGTAAAATGCCATGACCAAGATAGCTTATAGGAGGAGGGCTTTATTTGACTCCAGAGGGAGTCCCTCACCATCATTGTGAGGAAGTACGGCAACAAGCAGGCATGACAGCTGAATCAGCAGAAAGAGAGAGAGAGGGGAACTAGAAACTGCAGGATTCTTTAAACTCTCAAATCCTGCCCCCAGTGCCAAAAAGGCTGCACCTCCTAGGCCTTCCCCGAAGGGTACTGCAAACTGAGAAACAAGTGTGCAAATGCTGTAGACTATGGTGTATATCTTCCTCAAACCATCACAGACAGAGATCTTATCTTCATAACCACAAATCTGAATGAGACCCAAATATAAATTAGAATTCTTTATATAACTTTGTTCTGGATATCCCCGTAGTTGACAAAGGCTAATGAATAGAGTGATAAAGTCACCAGGAGGGTAAAAGTAGTGGGGAGGGTAGCCCCTAAAAGTGATAGAGGCAGAGAAAGGCAAAGAGACAGACAGAGGGGAGAAGTCAGGCTAGGCGGCAAGAGTCCAGATTCAGCGTTGAGGACAGACAGAGTGGAGTAGAGTACAGCTTCCATCTGCAGTCCAGCTGGGGCCTCCTTGAGAAAGTCACAGCATCAACAAGAGGTCTGCATCATTGGGCCTTCACTGGGAGCAGTAAAGAAAAGACAGCCTCCATCTTCTATTGGAGAGAAAGAAAATGTTGATCATCACAAACCAGGTAAGGGAGGTGACCTATGCACGGAAACTAGAGGTGGCCTTGTGCAGTGGGCCTCAGAGCAGAAGGACTACTTTGTGCCAGAATACATACTATCTCATTGCATTTTAGCTTTTTCCAAGTGCCCTTGCATTCTCACAGCAGGACTCGAAAGATCTCACATGGAACTTGAAAGTGGACCGGAAGGATCCGCTGAGTCGTTCGGTAAATATGCATGGCGGATCTGGTAAAGCTAGATGTGTTACTCTTACTGGTACCTAATTCTGAACAACACTGCAAAGGAGTCAGTGCTCAGGTGGATTTGAACTGAGTCATACTTAGGTTAGGGTATGCTCTGGACACAGACAGAAGGATCCAGCCCCTTGCTTTCTTTCTTCTAAGCCTCAACCATGAAGTGAGCAGCTCGGCTCCATCCCCTCTGTGAAGCGCTGTCTCAGCACAGGCTCACAGCAACAGAGCCAGTCCTCCCGGGACTGAAGTTTCCAAAACCATGATACAAACTAGCTTCTTGCTTTAAAATTTGCATTGTCTGTATATATACACATATATGAAAATAATTAAAATGGAGTTGCCCTGGAGACAAGATAACAATGTCCCTACTTGATACTACCACCCCAGAAAAATTAAAAGTCTAGTCCCGAGAATGGATGGATTACCTCTTTAAGAGCTGTTGGCAACTGAGGTCCCATAGACCTTTGAGCACTACAGACCTTTACCAATGCTACTGGTTACCCTCCAGAACTTGATGGTAACCCTTTATTGCTGATGACACCATGCATCTGAAACACAGAGCATGGAGAAACCAAGCTATTTCTGACCTAGAAGCCTCCTCTCTACTGGCTGGCTTTCATGGTACAGAAAGGTGCTGTGAATGCCACACTACAAGAAAAGTGATCATTAATCTTACCCAGCTGTGAACCCTGTGAGCTACAGTAACATCTGTCCTGACCAGACATGCCCACTGGCTCGTCAAGGTGAAAGCCATACCTGGAACCATAACCAGGCCAAGAACCTGTGGCTGCACAGGTCATAGGCCCTATGGAAGAACCTACTCCTGTTATCCTGAGGGGTAGATCTAGATTTAAATTATACCCATATATTAACATATCCCTTTGCCCTCATCAGAGAAGCTTCCATTTGTAGTGTGTGGTTATTAACACAGAAACACACAAATTGAAAAGAATAAGAGACTCTAGCATGATTGCCCATAAATGGGACACCTACATCTCACCCCTTCCTCCCATGATTCATGGGATCATTGCAGAGGCAGAGGCAGAGACATTTTAAGAGCCCAGAATACATGAAAACAGTGGTTCTCCAAGCACAAGGTGGAAATGAACACCTAAGAACTCGCAGAGATTGTGACAGCATGCACAAGCCCCATATAAGCTCAAGCCAGACCAATGGAGAAGGGAGAGAGAGATGAAGTCATTCTCTAGCCAAGGAACTATTTGCAATAGGTAGCTGCTGGGAAAAAGAGGATCCATTTTTTTTTTTTAAAGAGTGTTGGCATTGGTAAGTCAAGTATACTCCAATGGAAGTCTACAAGTCCAGGAA